GGGGCTGTGAGGGGCAGGAATGAGGGGTAAAATCAACCCACAGAGCCTGGATGCCCGGCAAAGATGGATGTTTTCCACCCATTCTGCTTCAGTTCCGAATTTGTCAGGGATTTCCCTGGCAGTGAGTGCCATCTACGGGGCACACCCAGCACCTTCTGCCTCTCCGGGAGGTGCCCAAAGAACCTGCTGCCAGCTGGGGCCTGCTGCCCAGCCCTGCCCAGAGCCTGCCTGGCTGCTGCCCCCCCGGGAGTTACCCTGTCCTGCAGCCTCCAGACAGAATTAGGACCCACGTTTCATAAACGTGAACCTGAGAGCAGTGGGGTGACCCTGCTTTGGGGGGTCTCACGGGGTTATGCCTCCCACCCTGCTCCTGCCTCTCTGGCCAGTTGCTTTCACCTGTCCAACTCTGACCACCAAAGCTGGGGGTAAAACCCGAGGATGTAAATTTGAGTGGAGGGAGGGGTTAGGGCTTTGTTTCATCTGAACTGTCTTTGAATGTCGGTATTGTTGGGCTCTCACTCCCCGTGTGATGGGTACTGACGAGGCAGAGCAGGGGCAGGCGCTGCTCCAGGGAAAGCCACCCAGAGCAGGGATGCTCTCAGGAGAAGCAGGATTCCTGCAGTGGCCATCACTGCAGGCCTTCTCCTGGCAAGAACATCTGTTGGAGACTAAAGCCAGGATGCCTCCACACCGGCAGCACTTTAAAGAGGCTCCTTTGCTGAGCAAAGAGCTCTCTCTCCTGGCTGCTGCTAGCTTTCCTCTGCTCGTTGCCCAGCTCCCTTGTCCCACCCAGGAAATAAGAGAGGAGGAGGAGGAGGAGAAGACCTTGGGGAGGGACTGGCACACCGGAGCGGAGGGTTGAGATGGTTGTTCCAGGATGTGCCTCACTGCCTTTGGTGTGCTGGCAGCCAGTGCTGGGGCTCAGCTGGGAGCACTGGGGTGAGAGCAGCAGGGCTGGAGGAGCTCCACGGGGGCTCAGCACCGTGGGAATCACACAATGCAATCTGCTCTATCCAAAAATCTGCCGGTTGTGGTGTGTGCGGCTGTAAAACCCTGCCCAATTCTTGGAACAATTCCAGTTTGCTGAGCCTCTGGCAGAAGGGAGCCCTCCCAGCCAGTCCGAGCTTTCTAAGCCAGAGGGAAGGGGCCAAAAGGGCCTTTTTAGTAACATTTCCCCCCTTTCCTCCCCACCCACTTGGACTGGCCTGGAACATGCTACCAGCCTGTCCCACCAGAGCCACGTTGCCACAATCAGGAGGCAACTGCAACGGTCGGGTGCGTTTTATTGAAAGCTGACATCTGTCTCCCCTCCCTGCCTGGCCTCACAAATCTGCTGGGCACAAGCATCAAGACATCAACATTAATATCAAGAGTCCCAGGGCACTGACCCTTCCCCTCTGCTGCTCCTCTCCTTCACCAGCGAGCCAGAGCGACCAGCCGGCCAGGGGCTTTAGTGTGATCCCTACAGCCCATCTGTCCACCCCACACATATTAACAGCCCTGGCATCAGGTTTATAAGTCGTGTTTTCTCACAGAGCAAGCAAGAGAGAATAAATAACAGCGGCAATCGGCAACAGTGAGACCTCGTAACAAGAAACACAGAGCTGGCACTTCCAGAGGCCTTTCCACCTTTCCCAGTTTTCCCGCAGAGCAGAGACCTGCACCCGGGCAGCGCTGGAGTCCCGTACGGCGTGGGGGGGCTCAGGGGTCTCGCCAGCATCGCAGCCGAGCTCTGCGCCCCGCAGCACTGCTCTCTTGCCCAGCAGTCCCTTCCCGCTCCTCCCGTGTGTCCCGCGGGTGCGTTACCTTCCCGGCACCGTCGGGCCCCCCAGCTGGGCAGGTCAGTGGATGGGGAGGCACTGGTGGTGTCCCCAGCTCTGGCAGTAGCCCAGCTGCCAGGGGACTGCCCCGGCCAGGGGGTCTTGCAGGCTGCCCGTGTATCTCTGCTGCCAGGCGCCTCGCAGCCCGGGGTGGGGGGTCCCGCTGGAGCAATAGGCAGGGCTGGGCCCGGAGCGATCCTCCCTGGGGCTCTCGTAGCGATGGAGCTGCCTCTCCGGGAAAAACCCGGCAGAAAGAGGGGACGGAGGGCAGCGCTGCAAGCCGGCACCGCCCGAAGAACCGGGCTCCCAGCGGGGCTGGGGGCGACTGGCCTTCATCCCCGGGTCCTGCGCGGGGACCCCGGCCCGGCTGCGGCACTCGGAGTGGGCGCAGGGCCAGCAGCACCCGGCGCCGTGCAGGGACAGGGACAGAGCCGTGATCCTGTTGATGGCTCGCCGGAGGGTAGCGATTTTGGAGAGCCTTTTGCCACCGAGGTCATGTTTGAGGGCCAACCGCAGGGCGTTGAAAGCTTGGTTGTAGTCCAGGATCCTCTTGCGCTCTCTGACATTGGCAGCCATCCTCCTGGCCTTGGAGCGCACCGGCCTGCTCCTCTTCCTCACCTTCATCCCTTCGGTGTCCCCCAGGCAGGCAGCTGCTTCCCTCCCCTGGGGGACCCACAGACTCTGCCCATAGCACACCTGGGGTGCAGCCCCTGCTTCCAGCTCCTCTTCTGAGCTGTCGGGCTCTGGTGCGGCGCCTCTGCCCACGACTGCTCTGGACATGGCCACCGATGAGGGGGAGCGGGAGAGGTGCTGCTGCAGTCCTGCCTCCTGCAAGGGGTGGGAGACACTCCTCCAGGGACACGCAGCTGCCTCTAAAAACCCCACCGCGGGGCTCTCATCACGTGGCTCTCCCCCCGCCCCGACCCCCCTCACCTGCCTGCAGGTGTGCTGCCTTGTGGAGAGGCACAGGGTGAGCTCTGCCTGGCCTCTGCCCGCAGGGGTGAGCCTGAGCATGGTGCTGGGCTGGAGCGTGGGGCACTGGTGCTGGGGTGCCCAGAGCTTGTGGTGGGATGCTCACAGACCCCGAAGCGGGAGGAAAGCACCTCAGCCAAGCACACATTGCTGTGGTTGTTGTAGTCTCTGCTAGGAGTTTGGTCGCTGTGGGAGTTCCCTGTGCTGCTCTGTCCTCTCCTCTGCTGGGTGGGCCAGCGGCTCAGCCTGGCCCAGGCCATTCCTGGGTTTTCTGTGGTGCTGTGGGGCATCACCACCCTGGCATGGGGCTTGGGCTCTGCTCCCCCACACCCACTGGTCCTGCAGCATTTCTGCTATTTCCCACCTAGAGGAAACTGAGGCACGAAGTGATGATGTTGCTGAGGAGAGCAGCGAGTCTTGTGTCTGCTTGTAGGAGAAGACAAAATTACTCCTACCCCAGAAACGGGGTTGGAGCCTTTAGGACAGTGTCTTAGGGCTGCTCCACGCAGCTGCACCCTGTCGAGAGGGGAGCATCCGTGGGCACGGCGGTAGGTGTGTGCCTGGGCAGGAGAAGCCCCTGGGAGCCAGAGGAGGAATGTGCGGGCCTTGGCACGCCTCTGCCCTGCGGAGCAGGAAGGAGGAATGTGGCAGGAGGGACTGGGGCAGGTGATAAAAGAGCTAAAGTGCTACCTGCCTCCAGAGCCTTCCTGTCCCTTCCCAGCAGCGGGGAGCCTGGGGGCAGAGCTGTTTGGGCTGGTGCTGCTGGGCCTGTCCGGCACTCATTCTGAGGAAGACGATGCTGAAAGCAGCTCCTTGTTCCCTGCATCCCCAAACCGGCAGGACAGAGGGACTTGCCAGGTGCGGGGGGTCCAGAGGCCATGGGGAGGGCCCCGTCCCCGTCCTCTGAGCAGCGCAGGGCTGCCACGTGTGTTTGCCCATCACTTCATTAGCGAGCAGTCGCTAAATGCCGTCCTGTGTGAGGGGTAACGTTTTGAAAAATGGCCCCATAGTGGGTCTGACAAATTGTTGGGGTGACTGGTGCAAAAGCAGAGCCCCGGGAGAATGTGCCCCCCTTGGTCCATCCCTTCCTATCTGATTGTCCTGGCTCACGTTTGATCAATAGCCACAATTAGCGGGGGGTTATTTGTCTATTGCCCTTCTCCTCTCTTGGGTCTTTGAAGTCGGAGCTAATTTAGGTGCCTCTTCTCCAGGAACCCAATAAATCAGGAGCCGAGGCCTCGGGGAGAGGGAAGGACCAGGTAGCAGGACTTCAAAGGGAGGTGAAGGTTGCAAATATTTTTGAGCACTCACCTGTGCTCACTATGGCCCTCTTGTTCTCCCCAGTTGCCTTCTGGCTGCCCAGCCTTGCTCTGCCCAGGAGCAGATGCTCTCCTGGCCAATGCTTACCCGGTGAGCTCAGATCAGGAGCATGGGGCTCAAGATGCCTGAATAACAGGAGGACATGCAAGCCAGGCCCGCTTAGGGATGTGCCTGTCCAAAACCCAGCTAAGCAGAACAGATCCCTGCTGTGGGAATGTTTTTGCTGGTGTAGGAGGTCTAGAGGTGCAGTACAGAGCAAACATGGAGGTGACTGAACCTGGCCTGAAGCCAGGCCCAGCTGGGGCGACGTTTGGGCTGCGGCAGGGGCAGAGGGCAGACAGCAGCCCCCAGGCTGCCCCCATCCTGCCCACAGCCCCCAGGAGCTCGCTGGGGAGTGCTGCCAGGAGTTCCCAGCATCTCAGCTCTGAGCAGCCCTGGGCCTGCAGGGATCCAGCCCCGGCTCTCGGAAGCGGGCAAAGCCAGACTGTAAATCATGGGTCATCGGATGCCACCTGCCGCCTGTAATTAGTGCATCCCGCTGGGCCGTCCCCACCTCGTCCTGGACACTTCCTACCTAGGTGCCCATTACAGGGTGGGAGGCCAGGAGGAACGCCCACCCAGGCCCTGCTCCCTCGGCCCCCACTGATTTATTGCCATGCGCTGGAGAGATTTATGGGCTGAGATGGGGAGCCAGAAATGTGTTGTAAGGCTCTGCTGGGCCTGTCTGCCTGACAGATGATGAAAGAGCTGTAATTATCCGTCGCCACGCATAAATCAGGCCACTCATGGCAAACACCACCCCCCCGCCAGCCTCCACGAAGGGGTTTGAACCCCAGGGATACCCCATCTCTCCAGCACGTGTCACACTGGGCTTGGGGCACTGCTGAGCACTGGACACCTGCTCATCAGCACCGTCACAACTCTTGCGGGTCCCGCATCCCAAAGGTGGTTTGGGTGTCTTTGCCCCTAACGCTGTTGCAGAGTGGGGGCTGCAGCTCCTGCAAAGAGCCCTGGCCTGGCTGCCCCTCACCCACATCCCTCCAGCATCCCCAAAGCGTTGCCAGGTGAGAGCTGCCAGGATCATCTGGGAGCACAGCCCTTGCTGGAGATAAAACCTTGATGGGGTGGTGGTGAAGGGGCAGCTGACACGGGCTGGGGGGGCTGCCCAGCTCCTGGCCGTGTCCCAGCACCATCCATCCTCCTCAGGAAGGCCGCACTGGGAGGCACAGCTGTGCCGGAGGGAGGGCACGGAGAGGGAGCTCGTGGTGCTGAGGTATGAGAGCCAGCGACTGGCACGCAGGGAGGTGCCCACTGCTGCACAGCCCCCTGCTCTTGGGTGGTGGTGGAGGGGAAGGAGGAGGCGGTTGTTGCGACACTGCCTGGGCCCCGTGGGTAAATAAATAGGGCGCTTTGTTCCTGCTGGGGCCAGGCCAGGTGGCACAAAGGGACACAGCTTGAGTCAGCCGGCCAGCACGAAGTACACGGGAGGAGGCAGCTCCCCAGCATCCCGTGGCTCAGCACCTCGCGTGGCACAGGGGAACGGCCAGCCCTGCCCGGGGCGCGGGGTTGGAAAGCCCTGTCCCGTGGGGTGGGGGTGAGCTGGGGACACGCGCTGCCCTGGCAGCTCAAACACAGTGGGCACACGCGCCGTGGCACTGAGCGGGCGAAACGTCTCACGTGGGCCTCAGTCACCC